CTTGGTGGTTTTCTAAGTAGTGACTGTGATAACATCTTCTGTGAACTACCTGGTTTCAAAGCTAATTATGAATCAAATATTTATAATTTATAAAAGGCATCTTGATAAAGAGGTTTCAACCTACATCTTTCTGACTCAGCAAATGTCAAAAGGGTAGAATACATTTTGTTGGGTAAGTAAGCAGGCCCACCACCGTTCTTTTTCCAAGTATTCAAGCTAGAAAGGCAGTAGGCAGGATAGCCCGATTGTTAGCAACAGTGACTTATTCATCGAAGTGATGAAGAAAAATATTCAATATTCAGAGACAATAAAGAGAAAATCCTGACGAAAACTCAAATAAATGAAGATTGTGCACCGGGCTGTAGAAAGAAGGCTGTAAAGATATGTCATTAGCATCACTGGGAAAAGAAAGGATGCATTTCTCAGTGACAGGCTTCTCCATGATCACTGTTTTTAATGACACAACACATCACTGAAATGAAAGATTTGAAGGACTTCAAGGAATGCAGGAAAAAAGACAATTTTTAGATACTTGTATTGACAATCTAATACCTGAAATGCAAAAATAACACACAAAGATTACTTTAAAGACTACACATTCTGCAGCGGTGCTTGTAGTTCTGGCTGATAGTTAAAAAATATACAAGTAACTGAATTAAAAATGTATATTTTGTGCATTATGTTTATAATTTAAATGTCTTTGTTACCACTGTTTTACAATCATGTGGTGACTTAACTCCTCAAGCTACATTTCTAGAGGTTTGGACTTAAAGACGATGTATTTCACAGGCTGATTTTACAGTGACAGCCATCAACAGTGTCAGATGTATAAGCTTTAAACAAACCGAGCTGTTTGAAACTCAGCTATGTTAAAAAGAAATAAATCCTACGGCTTTAATTTTGGCTTCTTTACCACAACTAGAAAAGCAAACTGATAATTCTGTTTAAAACAGTGCCTATAGATCGTTAAATGGCACTGCAAGAGAAATTTATATTCTCAAATATGCTTTCAACAAAAACACAAACACATGTTACATTTTTCATTTTAGTATATTCTTGGTACCAGAGGTTATTTCCACGAAAGCAATCGGCACTAATTTCCGTGACGTTTTTTGCATAAATGTGCACCAGTCTCTGTTGCAACATGTTTGAAGATTTTCTTCCTGCTGTTTAAATCCTCCTGCAACATTTTAATGAAATTTACATCGTTAACGAAGCCAGCCCAAAAGAAAGAGTTTCTTACAGTGTCATGATATGTTTCATATATTTTAGACATGTTATTAGCTCTTGACCAGATTCTAAGAAATGCCCCCACACTTTTTTACCCCCAGTACCTTAAAGTGGCAGTAAAGCCTACATGCACATTATTTAAATTAGACAGTGTCACCTAATCTGGAACTAATGACTCCAATTTAAATCTAGAAGTGTACTTATGTTTTCCTTCTGACTGATGTGCTGTTTATGTATTTAAAGTGATCAAAAAATGTCGTTAATAATGGGCAGTTATGAAGATGAAATGTTTATCTAAATACATTAAAAAAAATCTTTTTTCAACAGCGCTGTCGTTTGTGCTAAAACCTCTTTTGGCAGGTCGCACTCAAAGATGGTGTGAAAAGCCTCCACCTAGACACACAGCGCTGTCTGTGCTTCAGCATCGATGCGATGAATCATTAAAATGAAGAAGCCACTTTCAGTACTTCCCTCAAAAGTTTCATAATGTTACTCGAAAGCAGTTTTCACACATTCACTGCAGCCGTAAAGTCTTCTAAACATTACCTGAAGAGAGATCGTGAATACCCAGTGCGGTCGAATCGGATATTAGCCGATTTTAACCTCCAAGACCCCTGCTGAGCTCCCTCCCAGCACACTGGGAACACTCCCTGGCCTAAACCATGCACAGTGATTCCAGTAGTGCAAAGTGTTTGTCTGAGCAGACTATTTCCTCCTTTCTGCTACACGTGAGATAAGACAATTCTAGAAAAACAGTTCAGCTGTTGCTTCGTTAGGTGAAGCACTGGAGACTGCTGCTCACTTAAGTCATGTTTCGTTTCCCTTTCTTTCCACTTCCCTGTTTTCCTAGCATTCAAGATATCTGTCACGATGCTCTTTTTTAGCTTCATGATAATTTTTGTATAAAATGAGTACTGCATACATTAAGTTCTCATTTTTATTCTTCAGCCTCCACCTCACTCAATCCTCAGCATCCTCTTCTGCCACACCAACCCGCTCAGTGGCGGTCCTAGCCTGTTTGGCGCCCCGGGCAAACATTATTATTTTCTTACTCTTCTTATATACATTGTTTGTTTACTTGCACTGCTGTAACTGGAGCCTCGTTGTCTCGTCTCTCTATATATTTCACTGTATGTAGCGGAGATGACAATAAAGTTTACTTTGACTTCAGCAGCAAGCAGGCGCACCGAGGGCTCTCGCGCTCACTTTTCACGTTTCGAAAAAACATCGGTGCAAATTATAAGTCTGTATCATGATGTCTGGTGTTTTCATGTTTGTTTTTATTTTGCGAGTTGGTTATTAGATGCTGCTCCAGCCAGCAAGAGAATCCCCCGCCGCCCCGGCCTCTCCTTCCTGTGCCGCAAGCAGCAGGCACACCTCGCAAACAGAGGGCGCCCTTACTCCCAGCAAATGGGCGATAGAAAACCGATCGGTGCCTATACAATTCCCAATACGCGCTGGCTGATGTCGGGGCAGCATGAGTACGAGCAATTTTTTTGTTTGTTTGTTTTTTTTGCCGATGCCCGTGATGCCGCCCCGGGCAACCGCCCGTATCAAAAACCGCTACTGAACCCCCTACATGTCCTCCTTCTTCCTCCTTGGCAGCTCCATCTTCAGCATCCTTTCTCCACTATATCCACTACACCCACTCTGCACATGTCCAACAACATCTCAGCCTTGCCTTTCTAACAATGTCTTGAAAATTTTCAGCCTGAGCTGTCCTTCTGAAGTACTCATTTCTAATCTTATCCATCCTGGTTACTCAATAAAATCTTACCACTGCTAGCTCCACCTCTTGTGTTTTGTCAGTGTGGCCATGTCCAAACATCATAACAGGTCTCATCTTGTAAGCCTTCCCTTTCACTCTTGCAGCTATCCTTTTATCAAAAATCCACTCGCTCCACCTGCCTGCACTCTGTTCTTCACCTTTCTTGTGCTGTCTGTTTCATTGGATAGCTGACCCCACGTATTTAAACTCATCCACCTTCGCTATCTTTACTCATTGCTGCTTCACCCTAACACCATGTCTCATTCACACACATGAATTCTGTCATGCTTCTGCTGGCTTTCATTCCTCTTCTCCTCAGTGCATACCTCCACCTCCTCTCTAATCTGACTACAGACCTGAAAACCTGATGTAATCCCACCTCACCTTGAATCCATCTGTCACTTCTGCTGCAAAACTGTCCTTCTTGCCGTCCTCATACATAACCTGCACCACATCCACAACGACACAGTGCATCTACACACAAGAGAATAAATGAATGGATAATTTAGACTAGTAGAAATTTTTTTTGCAGATTTTCTCTAGGGTTCTTTGGGCAGTATTGTGTAGTGAAAATCATGTGATAAGTTCTAGTGTGTTTGGAGGTCCTTCCTCGGACTGATTAAAGACTGGCATTAAAACTGCAGTATCAGTAAATCAGTCTCAGCTCACTGTTTTGCCCCAGGTTCTTCATGGGTAAATCTATGCACACTTTGCCAACCACAAACGACTGAAACCTGTAGTTGTGTAGGAGGGAAGCTAAATTACCTGTTACTACCTCGTTCGTTTTAAAACCTGACTGTTTTTTCAGGCGTCTGTCCACGAATCACGTTTCTCACGTAATGTATTTCTACTGTAACAGCCTTATCTGGGGGTTTTACTTTGCAAACACGCATGAGAAGCATCGTTCTGCCTAGTCAGTGTTATTACTCACTCAGCCCCAGCTTATCTTTTTCTTATAGTTTTTCTTGACAAATGTTACTTGGCTTGATGCTTACCCTCCCTGCTGGGCCAGCAAACTGGCCTCACACACCTGCAACCAATGATAGCCACTGGGGTCCTGTTTAACAGGTGAGGGCTCACCACAGTGGGCGTGTTGACGGGGAAAAGCCGCCACTGTGTCATGGCATTTGGGGGAAATTTGTGCAGGAGCAGCTGCACCTACATGTGATGAACAGATAGATGAATAGAAAAATGAGTGGGTGGATTCCATCTAATTCAATATCGACTCATTGTACTTACCACCAGACTTGACTCAGTGGTTGTTCGGCTGTTTTCAGCGCTGCTGACAGAGCAGGAAAGTTCATCCTGCCGCACTCTGCCCACCTAAAGCCGCAGCACCTTCGGCTCACTTTTACTTTTGTCTGACTTGGACCCCAGCTTTCTTATGTCTTTGTCCCTTTCGGCCACCATCCTCTGGTGCTCCTGCACCCTGCTGTTTCAGGTGCCGCAGATAACGTGGGTCAGTGTTTACAGCCGCGGCTTCCTCTTCGGCCAAATATGGTGTACAACCGCAGAAGTCGGGCTTGTTATTACCCAAAGTTACTCACACAACGAGCCGCCAACAGATGACAGCAGCACCGGGGGAAAGGAAAGTTTCTACAGCCACAGTCTGGTGTTGAAATTCTTAGAGAGGCCAGAAATACGATATAAAGCTCAGTTAAACCTCCACATTTAAATCACCCCATTCTGCCGAATGACTTTTTCTTCGGTGGTGTTTGAACGTCCGCTCGGCCGCAGCCGCCGAAGGAGTCACAGGGAACTGTAGTTTTAAGTTTAAATCTTTAACACACTCGCACAACATCAGTGAATGATGGTAGAAATATAATTTCAGGATGGCAAAAAATCAAAACCTTATTTTTGACTAAAGTCAATTTGATGGTGATTCTACAAATGGATTGTATATGCTCTCATCAAAGTTGTAATAGTTAATTAAAGCCGAGGTGAAAATTAAAACTAGATGTGAATAATATTTTAGTTTATTAAAAAATACAATTAAAAAAGCTAAAACACTAAAACTACCTTCACTTGATTTCAAAAGTTAGACTTTTCTTTATTGTAATAGCTACAGATTTTCCTAAATCTTACCTCTGACATATATTCTCCATACAGTAATGATTAAGAAGACTAAACTGAACTAACTAAAACTAAATATTCTCAAACAAATAACTTAACTGAAACAAGAAAATCCACTCTGGAAACTAACTGAAACAAACGTGATTTAAAAACAAAAGTTAAAACAAACATAAAATACACTAAAACTAATAATTCTGCCCCTAGATGGTCTGCAAGTGCGATTATTATTTGTTTCTAGAAGGACGTTTTTGGTACATATGTGTTGCTGCCCAAGCTACATACTAATTAGAGACGAGAAATCTATCAGTACTATGAGGGACTCTGGAGGCCCTGTTATGCTGTGAGTGGGAATTTTGCTAGCATTATTTGGGGCCACTTATCCCATTAAATGGTAGAAATAACTGAAAATCAATAGAAAGTTGTTCTGAATGATCTCATTTTGGTGCGAAAAACTGGAGAAATTTGTCACTGTGTGCTGTACGCATGTGTATGAAAAGAGTATCCTCTCAATCTGTCACATTTAACATCATTCTTCACCTTAGAAGTGACAGTTAAAGAAACCAATGTGTGCTGAATAAAATGAAAAAGCAATTTCCATGGCTGTTACAAAGCATCCCAGTCCACCATGGTGACTGTCATCTGCAGGCTAAAAATTAAAGCTGCTTTAGACTAAAAGACCCACAAAAACAGCACTGGTTATGTTGACTGGAGAAATAAATAGTAAAACTTTCGTATTGAGGTTACACTTTATTGTTCCCTTAGGAAAATTTCAAAACAATCGTTTCCACTGAATATTTGCATCACCTGCACAACAACTTGGAGATGGATAATGATCCAGGAAAGATCCAAACACATCTCTCATAAGTCAGTAAAACAAGAACAAAGTTACTGATTTAAGCATAGATATGGATCTTTATCTCTTTTATTGTTGATTTCTTAGTAAAAGCTAAATGCAAAGTATAAACATATTGCAAATAAGGTAGATTAAATTGAAAAAAACAGAACAAAACACTTTCCCCATACAGCTACAGAAAATCATATCATCCAAAGCTCTAGTGGAATTCACAAACATTCACGTCTTAACATTCTGCAGTCAGAATGCGTCAAGTGTTAACATATGCAAATCAGCCAAAGCAGAAGCCTACTCTATGTGTTATATGGTGTTTTTTATGTTTTTGTCATAAAAAATGATAATCACATACATTTGAACAGATGTAAATGTTGTATGAAGTTCAAGCACAAACCCGCTGCTATCAAGAACACACAGCAACTTGCAACAAGTGAACTGGCCAGCTTCAAGCCACTTCATGGAATCTCTCCTGCCATGTGGTCTACAGCCGTGGCTGTCAGTGCCACCACTCTTATGAATTTCTTTGGCTCCAAACAAACTGACAGAACCATTTCCTGCTTTAACTCTCGCGCTCATGCTGGGAATCAGATGAAACTTTTACATTGCTCTCTTTAGACAGTAAAACAGGAACAACACCTTCAGCTGTTTTGTTAAGAATGCAGTAATCACTACAGTAACATGGTGCTAGAGTCTCAACAACAGGACTGCTTGGTAAACTGCACTCTGGGCTTTGTGTCACATCCTCAAAGCTGCAGCCAGAGTCAACACAGCTGATATCCAGGACATCTTCAGGTGGAGAGGAGGCAATCTCTGCCTCCCTGCCACTCTCCCAGACGGAGCAGGGGAGCTGAGTATAAGAGGTGTTAGCTGGACAGACCATAGCTATAGGAGCAGGAGCCATATCCATCCCAGGCAGACCAACGTAGGAGGTCTGGCACTGAGGGAATGCCAGCTGAATCACTGGAGGGTTTAGGAAGGTCTGGGTCTCTTCTGGGTCCTTCGTGTTGGGTTCTGGCACAACAGCCACTCTATCACTTATCATGCCCTCATCGGCTTTGTGCATTAGTACATTTTTACCTTTCGAAGAAAGCCATTCCTGCAAATTAAACAAAATGAAGACGCATCAGGTGTGACGCAGTAGAAAAAAGCACACTTGTGTACTACCTGCACTCTCAGAATATGAAGCACCAATGCAGTATAGATGTTTAATGGTTTGTCACGGTAACATGCTGCCGTTACAAATTTGACTTAGGGTGTTTATTTTTTTACTTGCAGTTTTTTACCATCTGTCATTGCAACCATATTTGAGTGGTTCATTTCTGGTCCTATTGACCGGGGAAAGCTTTTTCTCACAGCAGCCAGATAAACAGTATCATAAAGTCTAACAACTAACTCAAGGAGGGACATTTGTAGAACCGCTACATGAACAGAAACAGACTTCTCATGCTTGTTTGTGAGGCTTTAGCACTGTTTGTTATCATTTGGCCATCCACCCCTGCTCTGACTGAAAGGTCTCATTCTGCTTCTGAGGGGATTACCTTGAACTCTTCAACTCATATTTCTAGTGCAGAGTTGAGTATTGTGCTTCCATGAACTGTTTTTAACTGAATCGTGTTAGCAAAAATTGTGTGATTTGCCATAAAACTTGGTATGAATATGGTAGCACAGGACGAATGTTTTAATGATGCGCCGACTTTTTATCTAAAGTCACTTGTAGTTGCGTCACACGATTGAGGGTTTGCTTTCCAGCCACTGGGTTTATTTCAGTAAAACTGATGAACTGTCAAAATCCTATTTTGCTGAATGCTTTCTTTTATCACCAGTTACCAGATGGTCAACATGATAGACAGAACACATCCTTACACTAAACTCAGCATGTTTGCATTTCTAGTTTGACAATATGCTGGTATTCACATTTTTTGCAGCATCAGAATGTTACTAAAATGTCACAAACACTATGAACGCTGTCTTTGACTGACACATCAAATAAATAAGGATGCCAGAGATGTTCCTGTTAGGGGTAACCACAGCAGATTATCTGCCTACCCATGGACCTTGACCAATTCACTGTGAAGTTATCATTACTATGTGATAGATGTGTATAAAGCTTATACACATCTATCATTAATTATGTGGTCTTCTTACATCTCATTTCTAACGTGTCATTTTGCACTGTGCTTCCATTGTGACCCTTATGTTAGGATTCCTGCACTTAATTGATTTTAACAGAAGTTAAAATTAAGCTTCTTCAGAAATCACTCATGTTATCACCTTACCTGGAGATCACCTTTATGTTGCTGATACAGAGGCTGAAAGAAAGGAGCCGGGGATGGCGTGTGGGACAGAGTTTTTATCTTCATCCTGCCACACAGACACAAAATATGAATAAGAGGCACATTATCCTCATCAGACATGCAATCATTCCAAAGCTTAGATGAATTACCTTGCAGCTGGACTGTAGAATACAAACAGCAGAGCTCCCAAAACCAGACACAGTGGGAACAGATATTTGGCCAATAATAATAATAAAGTTTCTGGTTCTGAAATTACACAGAATTATTGACTCACACTACAAAGATGGCAGCAACTCCATTATCTATCAAGTATCTGTGGTATTTTACAAAAGCGCTGAGAGAAAGGGAAGAGAGTAGCACTTGTTTTTGATAAACATTGTTCAGAGAAAACACCTCACAAGACAACAAAAGGCTGCTTCACACGAGCAGCGTCCCACCTATCTTTGTGATTATGAATAGCATTAAATAAACCTAAAAATCCATTCCTTTATCATTGTCATAAAATTGCTAAAGCAAATGTAGTTGAATTTTACTGTTAGCATATTTTTAGAAAGCTCCAGATAACAGAGGCCTTTTTTTACTTATGAAAAATGTGTCCTTTACCTTCTTCTGCTTTGTTTTCCCAGCATGTTGGTTGACTCCATTCACTCCAAGTTTCACTATATGTTTGAGGTCTATATCTTGCTTTAATGCAATATTCACTATTTTTCAGGTGCAATTTCCGATTAATAGATTCAAACTTCTTTTGGGGTGGAACCGTAAAAGTCTGTGGAAACGTTTAAAGAAACAATTATTGTTTGATTCTTTTAGAATAAAACACATTCTTAGTAAATATACTGCACATAACAGTTCATCTTACTTTGTTCTCACTGCTTTCAGGTGTTTGAAGTAATATTTCATACATGAGGTAACCACCAAGGTATAAATGGTTATCATACCGACTTTTAAATGTAATGTTGAGAGTCTCTGTTGTTTCTTGGAACACAAGCTCAGGCGGAGGTTTCAGCTGAACTGATTAGAAATATCAATCAAATCATATTTAGGTATATCAAAATGTTCCTCTAAGCATCAAGGGGGTGCATAATATTTTTTTCAGACTATCATTAAAAATGAAGCACATTAACATATTAAGACAAAATCAACAACTACAAGTGTAATTCATACTTACTGTGATCTGCTAAAATAAATTCATTTTCTAAATTGATGCATTGAGATTCATCACAAATGTCAATTTCATAGGAATTATAATCCGCCCAAAGCTTATTGTTGAGTTGACATTCACAGTAGTAACTGTGATTCATCACCACAAGTGGACAAGAAGGGCTTTTGGAGCAAAAACAGAACATGGACATGTTTGTGAATTTAGAAGCAGAAACACACACTTTCAATTCTGTAAGAAGAATCAAGTATTTTATGTATTTATTTAAGAAAAACTTACTTGTGTTCGGAGTTCTCCTTGAAATATAGGCTGTAGTTCGTTTTGTTCTTTCCCAATGGAATAGCAGTGATGTTGTTGAAGACACAAGTAATGTTGTGTATATAGTCAGTCACACACATCCATGACGGTACATCAGCTAGAAAAAGAAAAAGTAGAAGAAAAGAAATATTCAATTATTATTTCACAGTTTCTGGTATTGATTACTTCAATGCTATACTTGTGTATGATAAGGTAACACACACTGGATACTCCTATGTTTTTGTGCCTTATACAATTAACCATGTAATCATCTGACTCTGGGCGCTCTGTGGTCTTAATTCTATTGGATTTGACTTCAGCCTTTGACATGGTTGACCATGATATCCTTTTGGCAAGGTTGGAAATGTTCTATCATGGTTTAAATCATATTTCTCTGAGAGGTCGTTCTCTGTCATGATGGGAAAATATTCCTCTTCTTCTGCCCTTTTTCGCTGTGGTGTGCCCCAGGGCTCGGTATTGGGTCCTGTGTTGTTTTCTCTGTACATGCTGTCCTTGGGCTCCATTTTTGAAAAACATAATGTCTCTTTTCACTGCTATGCTGATGATATTCAAATCTACCTCCACCTGACTAGGGATGTTTCATCTTCACTACATCCTCTGTTTGATTGTCTGAGGGATGTCAAAGACTGGTTATCATGTAACTTTCTTACTTTAAATGAAAAGAAGACAGAAATGATTGTTTTTGATAGAAATATGCCTCTGGGACAACTGGCTGGCACACTCGGGCCTGTTGCTAACCACCTCACTGATGCTGTTAGGAATCTTGGAGTTTTCATGGATAGCTCCTTCAAACTAGATAAACAGGTCTCTACTGTGGTAAAAACCAGCTTTCACCAACTACGCCTAATTTCTAAGGCTAAACCTTATATACCACGCAAAGATCTGGAGAAACTCATTCATGCTTTCATCACTTCAAGACTGGATTATTGTAATTCTCTCTACTTGGGCCTCCAATCTTCTCTTCTTCAGCGATTGCATCTGGTCCAAAATGTTGCAGCACGTCTCTTGACCGGCACTAGAAAGTATGATTCTATCACCCCGTTCTGGCCAACTTACATTGGCTTCCTATTAAATACCGAATTGATTTTAAAATTTTATTGTTTACTTATAAAATCCTAAACAATATGGCACCTGACTACCTAGCTGATCTCCTCTGTCTGTATAGCCCTCAGAGAGCACTAAGATCATCGGGCCAACTGCTCTTAGTGCAACCTAGGTCTCGGCTGAAGACCTGAGGAGACCGTGCCTTTGCCGTTGCTGCACCCAGCTTATGGAATACTCTTCCTCTTCATATTCACGCATCAGATTCCATTCAGTCTTTTAAATCACGTCTAAAAACTTATTTGTTTAACCTGGCATTCAGGGCTAATTAGGGTAATTTACATCTGGCTTTGCATTTAGATTATGTAATTATTTTATATTTATTATTTTATTTATATCTGTAATTTATATTTTATATTGTGATTTTTTATCTGTATCATGATTTTACTGGAAAGCACTTTGGTGTACTTCGGTCTTTAAAATGTGCTATATAAATAAATTTTGATTGATTGAATTTTGATAATCACCAGTTTAGCAGGTAAATCTCTTGCTAGCAGCTCAGTCATCCCATGTGCACACTCCCTTAAAAGGTTCAATCCTTAAGAAGGCACTCTATTTATTTTTTATTTAAAACCTTGATTGGTAAATAACCAGCATATCCAGCTGTCAAATATGTAGCAGAGTAAAAAAGTACATCATTTCTCCACAGTAATAGAAATAACAATCAATTTTACTTGATAAACATCAAGCTACTTTCCATATGTAATAATCAAAATATTAATCAAAGCTCAAAACCAACAACATGTGATATGATGATAGCTCACATGTGTGACTATTTGACATTTAAACATAACCGCTGAACCTCCTACTGTTACTGACAACTGGAATGTATGACATTAAAAGCTATGCAGTTAATCATAGTAGGAAGAAAAGGATGATATGATACAGCCACAAGATGAGATAAACCATAAGCTGCCTTACTAATGACTTCCCATAGCTAAGTGAAAAACATCCTCATACAAATGAGCAATACCTTTGATCCCGCTGGTCACTGCAAGGATGCCGTAGCACCAAAGCCCAAACAGGAGCTGCCAGCACTTCATGTCTTTTTGAACACAGGTATCGTTCTGTGGATATGAATAAAACATATATGTTTAAAGCCTCTTTGAATTTTGCATTATCTACTTCTTCAGTATTATGAAATTTGTACCATTTCATCTATATTACAATAGATTGGAATTTATCTTTTCGTAAACTACACTTATCATAGGAAAATAACAAATAAAATGCATCAAGTTTATAACTTTTCACAATGAATAAATTCACCAGCTGACATGAGTTCAGTGATATTTTAGTAAATGTGCCATTACCTCAGCTCTGTGGTGCCACTGATGTCTCAGACGGTGAATGAGACAGAGAGCTGAGGTTTAAACTTATCAATCACATCACAGGAAGTCTTTTTTTTTTTTTACGTCATTGGTTTTTTTCCCCCCTCTTGCCTTCTTGGTTTGGGCACGTGCTTTTGATTTAGTTTCATTGTACTAATAAAACTGTTCAGTCTCTGAAGATTATCCGGTTCTTTAAAGTTTTTTTTTCCGTGATACAAAACCTAAAGAGACATTGTTTTATGTCACTTAGGGTTGCATTTTTATTCGCTTTAGTGCACGTGCAAGTTTCCTTTTTTTAAAAATCAACTTTGTCAAAAAATAAAAAAAATAAAATGATTCTTCCTAAATGTATTTACTTTTTGGTGGTTTGATGGTCTTCCATAATGTAGTGCAACAAGTTCACAATTTATGCTTGTTTAAGGTTTCAAATATTGAGCCAAACAAGTAATTTCTGTGTGCTGTAGGTTACAGAATAAGGAACTCCAATGCAGGAAAAAAAAGCTTTTTATTAAGCTGAAGGATGAGTCCAAGGTCCAAAAACAAAACAAAACAAGTCAAACACTTCAGCAAAATATAGAGAGCAAACCAGAAAAGATACACAGAACCAACAGGATAAAACAATGGACGGTGTACACACAAACGGTGATTAAGGAACGGGCACAGACCTCCAGTAAAACTTTGAACAAAGCACAAGAGGAAAGAAGTTATCAGAAAATAAACAAGAAAATAACAGCGTAGATAAATGAAACAAGGAATGAAACATGAATGAACCACATCAGAGGGGAAGCAGGAAGATGAGACAGAAAGAACACTGAGGGAAACCATGAGGGAGCTATAACATACTCAAAGACTCCAAAATAGGGCTGGTGCAGTAAAGTAATGGGCATCCAAAGCTCAACAATTACAAACCCATAAATGGGAACTAAAAAACCCAACAAGAATCAATGCTTCATGTTAGAATGATAATTAAGCACTAGAACAAGTGAAGATCCTGGACACAGCTCTGAACACAAATACCAATCTGAGAACTACTGCACTGGTTTGCTTGTGACTTTTGCTGGGTTTCTCACACTTCAGTGAAGCTACCAACCACAAGTTGATTAGAGATAGGCTCGAGAGGATGGCTGTCTCTGAACGTTTTTCCTTATCAAGATTTAAATCTCATTTGGTGTGGAAAAAGTTTTGAACAACAACACAGCTGTTTGCAAAAACTGTAAAAACAAGCTTGGCAGGGACTTTAGATTTAGATTCTTTTTTATTCTTATTACAAGGTCCTTTAAATGTAGCCTGGGAAATGCTTAGCCATACAGGACACACTTACTGGGGTTATTAATGTGCAGTTTTTATTGCCAATGGCAACTGAATAAACAAAAATGTCCTTTGACCTTCACTTTTGTGAAACGGCAGCCATATGGACTTGTACTGAACATCAACAGTATGAGAGGTAACGTGGCAAAGTAACAGGATAAACGATAAATAAAAAGATGCGCCAGTGCGAGGAATAAGGGAAATGAAATAAAATACAAACACAAAAATACGGCAGTGGCCTCTCTCTGTGCAGAACAAATTACAAAGAGCTAAATCACACAAGGCTCCTTTAAAAAATGTGGAAGTGTTACATACATTTTCTATAAACACTTATATTCCACAGCAATCTCCGTTTACTTGCAATACCGGAACACACAGATGACCTCGCCAGAAAATGGCTGCTCCGCGCTGCACATACAGATTCTTTGTATCATCCATTTCAGAAATACATCATCTTGTTAAAATACTGACGTTTTACTACTGCACTGCAATTATACCAATATGTTTCAACGAGTTATGTGCATATTTAACAACAATTCAACAATTAAACTCCACAACATTCCCGTTTCACAACCACAAATAAAAGTAAACAGGAAGTCCCAAGATGCATTTCTTGTTAAGTTTTCTTGGGAATACTTATCTGGCACTATCTGGTGTAGAGAGGAGAAGTTAGAAAACAAAAATTGCATTCTCCAAAAATTTGATTCTAGCTGTCAAGCACTTAAAATGGATCACACTTCCCCACAGCTAAAGAAGCTGCATTAAGCAACTGTAGGAAATTATTCAAAAGCTCTTTTAACTGTCTATAAAGTTTAAATACACTTGCTCCTCTCTACATCAGACACTTTATTTTATTTATTATATAATCCTGACAGATGACTGAGATCCTCCACTGGTTTCCCTTTAATTTCTAATTATTTCTAGACTTGGATGTTCACTTTACAAAGATCAGGTTTTCATTTGTTGAACAATTCACAAACCAGGAATGAGAACTTGACATGGAGAGGAAACTGATAGACATCAGATTGTGAGAAAAGACACATTCACAGTAAACAGACATCGCTCAGTACATGTAAAAAAAAATCTTTGCTTTGTTTGCATGTTTGCAAATGCATGCAGATGAGCCACAGAAAATCAAAACACTAGACTAGAATCAAAGGTCAAGCGTCATACCAAAGCTATCAACATCACTGTTTGAAGGCACTCCATCACTGAAATAACTAAGTATCACTTTCAGATAGGTCATCGGGAGAGGTGGGACAGAGAGTGGCTGAAGCCCTGTAGCTTTCCTCTCCCTGCATCTAAGAGTCTAAAACAATATCCAGACTTTCATGTTTGAAATGATACCAGATGCTAAAAACGACCTCGACCATATTTGTTAATAGTAAATCATCTTTATTCTTAATCAAATATATAATCAAAATGTAAGTTTGGCCAATATGTTAAATGCGAAAATCACTGTTCTAATGTCTTAATCTTGTGTGTGGACAGGATCCAGCTTTGACCTTGGTAGATTTGTGTGTGTCTGCAGGAATGTGAAAATATAAGAACTTTGTCGCCAAACTGTCATTATACATGATTTTGAATAAGAGAAATGGTATTAAGTGTTGTAATGATAATACATAATCCTAATTCATATGTGACTGATAGTTACTGACTTGACAAATTATGTTAAGTATAACATGGAAAAGAGTAAAACGTAATGACGTAATATCAATGAAGCAGCCTTTGCCTTAGTTAGAAGTGAAAGGTTGAAGATGGAGGATGATAGAGTGTGGCTGGATATCAGGTGACATCGGTGACCGTCGAGATAGGAAAGAGTGATGGGGAGGCAAATGGGCATTTGCAGTGCTTTTTCATCTAGTTCTTGCGATGAGCAGAATACATCATCTGAAGATTCAGTCCCTGAGGTCTGTAGTTAGAAATGGTAGTGCCAACAGGTAGTGCCAGAGGAGCCACCACCACCCAACCATAGTGGACCTACAAGTTGGTTTTATTATTTTTGACTTTTTCTCTGCTCGTTTTTTACCATAGGGGCAGGGTAGGTAACAGGGTAGTTAGTACTGGGTGAATCCCCTCACCCATCCTTAGGCTCCATCTGAACTCTGTGTTGCCATAATATTCATAGAATCAGAATAGGACTTTTTAATTAGAGCGCTGAACAAGACTTCCTGTATTGGGGTGCAAGGTCTAGGTGAATTCAGCTTCATTGTAAATGCGTTGGAACAGAAAATCTGGACATACAGTGGAAGAAAAAAAAAGTGGATATTTTTGACTTTTTCTCCTCGGTTCTGAACAAGAGCATTGATGGCAATGGACAGTTGCATTAATATTGATGGTTACACCCTAGTGCAATAAAGGGGATGGACACAAGTCTTTTTGTAGAGGTTATTCAAGCCGTGGCATTTGTTAGGGTTGAAAGGAAAACGGTAATCTCCATATTTTTACTTTCTTTCCTCAAAATAGCCTCCCCTCTTTTCTCTGAAAACACCATTTCATGTTTAACTTTAGTCACACTTTCCCAGTTTTTCCTTCCTGATTTTCTTTCAGAAAAAGGTTCATGAATCAGAATGTGAAGTCAGCTCTCTTATAGCAGCTGTTTATTGATGGTTGTTAACAATTTCTTCTTGCCTTCTTTGCCTTGCTGTTAATTCATTATGTTATAAAAGGTAAATAACATGTAATGAAAAGTCAGAAATGTTCATAATAAACAGAAGTAACAGTGTGAATGCAGCTAAATGTAAAAATTAAGATACTGTGAGCACATTCTTTAAAAAAAAAACAAAAGAAAACCTCCAGGGTAAAGTTTGAACAACTTTTAAATGCATTTTTAAAAATATCAGTAGTTCACATATTTTCCAGGTGTTTTGATAAGGAAAACACGTGCAATTACGGCAATGATAACTAAGAATCTTTATTGTTTTTATTATCCTTCACTCACTTGTGGCCTCGGGTGAAAGTTTAATTGAATTGAATTCAATTTTATTTATACAGCACCAACTCACAACAGTCACCTCAAGGGGCTGTGTATTGTAATAATACATACAGAGAAAAACCCAACAATCATGAGACCACCTCTGAGCAAGCACTTTAGTGACAGTGGGAAGGAAACTGAAACAGGAAGAAACATCAGGCAGAACCAGGCTCAGGGAGGGGCCATATGCTGCGACCGGTTGGGGTGAGAGAAGGAAGACGTGCTGTGGAAGAGAGCCAGAGATTATGTTTAAAGGATGTAATGTGTCAAATTAATCATGAAGACTAAACTGAGATGTTTTGATGCAGTTAACCTATCCCCACTTGTGGATTCCAGGTCCAAAAGTCCTGTTGAAGCAACTATTAGACTGACTATGGTCACACATCGTTAGCTTCATAGCATAAGTGCCTAAGTCATTTTTTTGTGTTTTTTTTGTGACGGACAGGATGATGCAGCAGTGGTAGGGGAGTAAAGTTAGGCAAAAATCTCAATTTGACCAAAAAATGACTTAGGCACTTATGCTATGAAGCTAACGACATGTTTTCTCCTTTCCCTCACTTACTTCACTTTTAACGTCCATCACTCATTCTGATTTGATAAATGCACAGAGAAAATCCTGAATGCAATTTGAACACGCAGAAGAGTGTGCACCATTGGCTGGTGAATTCACAATTGTTGCTTCATTACCTGCTCAGCTTACCTTTTGCTAAAGGTGGTGTCTGTTGTACTCACTTTACCAAACATTACTCTCATATATAATTGCTGTAACATATAAGTATGACATGCTCATAGTCAGAAATACACTTTTTGAAGTCGGCTCCAGTAAATGATCATAATACCAGTGCTGGCTTTGCTAGTCCACCCCTCACAAATCTAAAAAAACTGGTTATGTTTTGATTCTGAAACTATGATATACATGATGTTGATGCTCAGTGTTGGTTACAGAATCGTGCTGAACAGAAACAAGATTTTGGCTTCAGATTGTGATACTTGGAGTGGGTGTAAATTTGGTTGCACTGTTTTTCTTTTAAACAGAGTGTTTCTCAGCCCTGAAAAGTCTCCTGTACTTATCAAGAGTTGTTTTAAAAATTTGACCCATTCACATGTACTTTCAGAACCTGTAACTCAAAATATTTAGTGTGGAGGTAAATGTTTACATGGGTACACTCAAGGTTCAAGGTTCTTTATTTGTCACATGCATAGTTATACAAGTACAACACACAGTGAAATGTAGCCTGACACGCTCCTCGACATGTGCAAAAATGGGGGGGGGGGGTAATAGAGGAAGAACATTATATGATGTGAGAGGGCGGGTGTGTGTGTTTAGGGCACGGATGGCTTGGGGATAGAAGCTCCCCTTGAGTCTCTCTGTCCTTGCCCGGAAGATGCAGAACCTTCTACCAGATTGCAGAAGTTGGAACAGTTTGTTGCCAGGATGGGACGGGTCCTTCAGTATCTGCGCTGCTCTAGTCCGGCATCTCCTGGTGTAGGTGTCCTGAAGCGGGGGGAGAGCAATCCTGCAGCAGCGTTCTGCTGTACGGATCACTCTCTGGAGAGCTTTTTGGTCCTTCACACAGCTGTTCCCGAACCACGATGTCATGTTCTGTGTGAGGATGCTCTCCACAGCGCCTGTATAGAAAATCCTGAGGATCTTTGGAGAGACCCTGAACTTCCTCAGTTGTCGTAGGTGATACAGGCGCTGCCTAGCCTTTTTGGTCTGGACCTGAATGTGGGCAGCCCATGTCAGGTCTGAGGAGATGTGGACACCAAGATACTTGAAGGACTGCACCCTCTCCACTGGAGCTCCATTGATGATAATGGGCTTGTAGTCTCTGTGCTGACTCCTTCTGACTTTAAGTAGTCAGCACAGACTCCTTAAAGTCAGTGCTAAAGCTATTGTACAAAAACATTAAATAAAAATCAGCTGACTTGTAAAGGTTTTTCATGGGATGACCAACACGAAACTCTGTGTATAAAGTATTATTTTAGTTTTCAAGCCTATTAACTGCATTCGAATATCATCGAGCAAATAGTAGATATGTAAATGGATCAACTGACCCTGAACCATCCCATAGTTATGCTTCTCAGTTACTGGGGACCATGATGCACCAAGCCTTACTCCACTCATGCCTACTTCCCTCTCGAGTGGCAAGGTGGTAGAAAATGTTCTACCACTGCTACACAGAAAGACCCCAGCCGGGGTCAAACCAGGAACCTTCTCACCTTGACTTGCAGTCCACTGGGGTGGTTGTAGCTCGGGAGCTCTCTTTGGCTGGTGGTTCAACCCCTGGCTTCCCCAAGTCTGTATGCCAAATATCCTTGGGCAAGTCACTAACCTAAGCAATCCTAAGTTGCTCTCAAGGTTCAAGGTTCTTTATTTGTCACATGCTTAGTTATACAAGTATAACACACAGTGAAATGTAGCCTGACACGCTCCTCGATGAATGCGTGTGAATGTGGCATGTTGTATAAAGTGCTTTGAGTGCTCTGGGAGAGTAGAAAAGAGCTAAATAAGAATTTGTCCATTTACCATTCCAAATATTGAGTGGTCAATAAGAATAGAAAAGAGCTATATGACTGCAAGTACCTTACATCTGTAGCCCCATTATATGCAACTATTGCATGCCAGCAGCATTTGTATAATCTCACTCTCTAGTTTTAAGTTGTTTTTCTTTCTGGCTGGCCCTTTCTGGCCTGGTGCTGCTGGAGATGCTGTCAATAAAAAGGAGTTCTTATTTCACAAAGTCTCTAACTGATGCTCATAAGGGACCTTCTGATGGTTGGGGCTTGTTCTCTAATATTGCAGGGTCTTTATGTCACAGTAAAAAGCGCCTCAAGGCTATCACTGATAGAATGTGAAAATTATATGGATGCTAAAAGATGACATGCTAAAGCAATATTGTGATCGCAGCATAATTCATCTTTAAATATCCTTTCTAACTTATTTGATTCCGTCTTGATCAGTTAAAAGTTACACAATGTCACAGTGATTTGCAAACCATGAATTTGCACTATTAATCAACTTTATCTAGAGATTTACTTTAACCCAATACATTTTACAAATTTTCTCAGACTTATGTTTGAGAAAATTTGCACTTTCATGCTTAAAGTTTGTATGATGCAAAATTGACACAATATTATATTTTGAGGTGCAATGACATCTCCGTAACAATGCAAAAACATTTACCATAGAACATCTCATCTATTATTCATTGATTGTGTTGACACTTTTATTTTACTGATCAATGTTTTAAACTGTTTTAAATATGGATGAAGTTACATTTAACACTTTCAAGTGAAACACAAAGTCTGAAGAAAGAAGACACACAAGCAGACTCTTTACAACAGGAGATGAAGTTTTTCTGACGCATTTGTCTCCTTCCTGCTGATGAATGAGATGAAGACCAGTGAAATAATCATCCTCAGATAACATTTTGCTCCAAATTTGCACTTTTGTCTGACATTGCACAAAGCAGGACTTTCAGTGGTTTCTGCCAAAATGCATTTGCAAGGAAAACAGACATTATCAATATCTTGATAAGGCAGCATGCATGCTAACAAAGCATGCTTTGATAGTAACAAACTAACAAAGCATGCATGACCATGAGAAAAATAATTAGATTTCAAAAAATGTTCAGGCAATCTAAATCAAAGCAGAATTTTGATTGAGGATTTGTTAAATTCTGTTGAGTCAGCATGGAAATAATCAGACTTTTGCAGCATTTTATTATTAAATTAAATCAACACTTATAAGTATGTATGTAAATGAATTTGCATTTCACAGAATCACTGTATTTTTATTAAATATTATTTATTTCATTTATTTTTATCTACTGATATATTCAGGCATAGAGTCTCTTTCTCTCTCTCCTCTCCCTTGGAGCTGTTCTCTTAAAATAACGGAACAAGACTATAGTGCAAGAAAACAAACATTCAACTATAAAAATACACAACATTACAGCATGACCACTCAACTAGGTTCTTTTTCTAATTCAAATATCACCAACAAATCCAAGTCTTAAATAAACGTGTGCCCCACAGCCCAACAATCTGAAACGGTAGCAGTCAGTCGACTTTGAATCATTGTGATTCATGGAGTTCATTCTCCAGGTGGCTTGAGTCTTCTTGAATAGTGCTACATTATCATCCACTGCTTGACATAATTTGAATTTGAGTTCGTGTGCTGATGAAATAAATCAGAGTTGATCTGATCTGCTGTATTTGAGTCTGATGCTCCGGGGCTGCCACACTCCCCAAAACCACTATCAATTGTGTCCAGGTCCACATGAGGGTAGCCATCTTCTGACTGCTCAAATGAGTCAAGGGATACCCTCTCTGGTTCATTAAACTGATCGTGAGGCTGGAAGTTTAGGTTTTCCACTAATAGGTCATTGGATATGCGGTTTTCATGCTGTGGTAATACCCCACTTTGTCTGTCCATCCTGGACATGTGAGGCTCCTCTAAATCATAGCTGGCATGCTCTCTGTTGTCTTCCTCAAAGGAACCCAAGCTTGCTCCATCTTGGTAACTTCTGAGGGAGCTCTGTGATGTAACTTCCTCATCAAAATCTTCTCCAGATAAGGTTACAGTATGGATGGAGATGTGTCCAGTGGAGTGGCTGTTGCCCTGTGAACTGTCACCGTCTGGAAAGTGCAGCAGCATGTTGCTGTGAGGCTGCAGCATGTGGTGGATGTCGCCACCTTGATTCGTCTCGTTGTCCTCATTGTCTCGCTGCTTCTCGTCGCTCCAGTGAAGTATGTCATGCTGCTTCTCACTCATCATCTGAACATTTGGACTGATCCTCAGGTAATCATATTCACTGAATACAGGCTTCACCCATTCCTGTAAGAGAAAAAAGGGGAAAACATCAACATGCTGGACTAAAGAAATGCTAAAAAGTGTCAGTTGAATGTTTAAGAGTGTGCTTTGTCATCTTCTCAAGGAAACAGTCTGCACCAAAAGATTTGCATGAGAATTAAAAGTCTTTCTCTCTTTCCTAACAGTGGCATTCACTGGCTGCAGTGTGAGTGCCTGCCAAGCATGCTGCTACCCTTCTGCACATCCAAAAGGTTGTGCAGAAGCTGCTTTACAACCCACTACATCCACTTTTCCACTCAGGAAGTGTTTGCATTTGAATATCATATCTATTATCATTGCTCTAATGTGTGGGGGTCTTGCCATTTCTCTCCCCACCTCCAGCTTTCAGTGTATGTATGTGGAAGGATGGGGAGGTCCCAGAGGAGAGCAAAGCTGCCAGACTGCTGGCGGAAATATCAGTTCATTTGACTTTTGTGGTAGATAATGGATTTCAGTATTTTCACTGTTACCATGTTTTACCAAAGAACTAATACTTAATTAAAAATCACCTTTTAAAAAAGCAAAACAAGTTTGCTTTAATGTTGAGAACCTTGTCCTTATCTTCGGTTCTTTTGCAAGTGTGGTTGAGACATCCGGACAAGTACCTAAGTGTCTGGGGCTTTCACAGGATCAAAAGATTTAACTGTTAGTGCCAGGACCAGAAATGTTAAAATGGTGCAGGTCCTGAAATTTTTTGTTCCTACTAATACAAATACAGTTTGAGAATATCTGACATTTTAGCCATTAGAAATCTTTTTTTTTTTTAGCAAACTAGACAAACAGGAATTAAGCTGTTACTAGTCGCATGTGGAAAGACTGCAGGAGTAGCTCAAAAGGAGCATATATGTCCTATCCTCTAAGAAAATATTAGTGATTCTTACTTTAATGCACTATTAAAGTATGTCTCTTTCTTAAAATGCACATTACTTTACAGCAACCCATATGTGGCAATGAGGTGTAAACTTTCTGCAATTACCACTGGCTTGCAGCAAGCTGATGGCCAGATAAGCATGAATCAGTTTCTCAAAGCATAGGCCACCACATCCTGGAAAAAAAGCTCTTCAGCACGACAATCTTTTTAAAATCGCTGAGAGAAAGGAAGCACTCTGCACCACAAGGGTGAAAGACACTGCAAACAAACTACAACCATATCTGAGAGAAAGACGTAATACAGAGTCAAAAAAAAGAACGACGGAAAGAAAGGAAAAAGACTACACTGTCTTTAAAATCAAAGATTGTTTTTAAGAACTTAAAGTAGGTAAGTGGCGGTGGAGTGGGTTACCCAACAATTAGAAGGGAAGCAGTGCGAAGCCCCACTCCTCAAATGTTCCTTGAGCAAAATAATCAACTCTGTTTGTTGCTTAAAGCACCCTAGGCATTCTTTATGAAAGCGTGTGGGAATAGGTGAATGTGGTTTGCAGTAAAGTGTGTTTTAAACCCCCCCCCCCGAAAAAGTTTCAATTACCAATAACAATACTGCCACCTTCTGATAAGAACTGGTGCCAAATAAAGAGTAACAGCGGGACAGTATGCAGTCAACACTGACTCTGTTTCCAAAACAAAAGTAACTGTAAAAATGGGTTTAAATCAGTAACTTAAAAGTTGTAATTTTAAACTACTATATCTTGTATGTTATCAGCTACATTCCTCAAAGTTAAATAAAAGAATTACTGTTTATCAAACCAAGTAAGAATAATCTCCTGTTGCCTGATGTTGTTTCTGACATTTGCTGCAGCAGCGCACTCTACTGAACAATGTGTGCAACTGCATCCATGGCCAAAGCTAATAAATTCAACTTGTTGCTCGTACTCGGGTGAAATTCATCAACTAGAGTGAGAACTGAGGCGGAGGTGTGGGTTTTTTTTGGTCTGTCACCAAGATTGCTGCGGGGCTAATTTTATACTTTCTGGGGATGTGGAACATTTGCAATGGAAGAACCGTTCTGCGGTAAAAGGTCTATTTTAAAGGTATGTTTAAATTATACTAGCAGGTTCTTTCAATGTGCTCTACACTCATTTATAAGCGAGATGTGGTGAAGCTGCTGTACTGGATTGTTTTTATTCTAAAGAAGCAGCAAATGAGAAGCAAAAGCAGACATGATAAGGTGCTTTATGTAAGAGACATTTTAACCCAGCTATTTAGAAATACAGTGCAGACTCTGTTTGGATTTGAAATGAGTTAACATAAAGAAAAGGGAGTGCATTTTGTAAGAAATAATGATCAACATTTCCCTAAGCTTAGAAAAAAAATAGCATAAATCACATTAGGGTAAATACACAGGGTAATAGAAGATGAAGCAATTCATAAAGAAACAGCAAAACTATTTCAAAAGTGCAAACCACAACCTTTTCACTTGTGTGCCTTTCAGGTGAAGAGCAGGCTGTTTTTAGTCTAATACTATGTCAAATCAAAGATCAAAATAGATTCACCGGTGGTATTTTCCACTGGGGTGGAACAGGTTTGACTTTTATACACAAATATCAACCCACAAGATTTCATACTGATATCTGAAAAGGTTCTTGAAGCCCCTACACACTGACTCATTCACATCACGGAGTCCCTTAGTGTGAAGTCTGGGGAAAGTCCCACAAAACAGGGTCCAGATGTGCAGAAAGTCCCCCCTGTGGCAGCACCTGCTGGCTTAATTTGGAAATTACACAAAAACGCAATGAGTGACCTTGTTTTGCTGTCTTACCTTGAAGTTCCCTTCGTAGTTGTGATACAGGGGTTTGAAAAACTCATCCGGGCTCGGGATGTACGTAATCACCTGAAGTTTTCTCTGCCAACACCTGAGACAAATGTGAAATGATTTTAAAACCAAACAACAGGCAGAGAAGGGAAAATGACATTTATAGCTCAGTGTCACGTCTTATGGAGGTGATTTTCGTTTTCAGTACGTGAGCTGAGCAGTTATGAAGCTGTGGTCAAAGGCAACAGCTACAAACTAGAAATGCTGATAACACAACAGATTTCATGTGAAAGACTGTACAGAGTTAAGCAGAATTCATTAGTCACATCTTGCTATTTGACTATTTGTTATCTATAAGACATAATGATAAGTTTATTAGTAGTAGAGAAAATTTTCCTTTCTATGAAATGAACACTTGAAAGTTGTTAACCGCGCTGCGACTTGACCCGACTAATCCTTTAGAATTTAGATTTATTCTTTGAAAGGATTCTTTACCGCCGTAAGACGAGGAAAACTTTGACGCACGTTTCAGCGTTGTTTGTTGCCTAAACTGAGATGATTCTCTGGGCTGGAATGATAATAAAGGACTTTTTTTTTATTATAGCGCTCTCTGCAATAATTATGACATGTGACAGTGTCACATGTCGTGTCACTTGGAGCATTTTTCTGTATAAAACAAGCCACAGGTTTAAAATAAACAAAGCTGAATCCAACAGTTTGTCCCTGAAACAGTTTCTACTAAAACTGATCGTTCAACGTTTATCAGTGTAGAATCACTTTCAGCTGTGGCTAACACTGTGCCAGTGGCTAACACAGTGTTAGCCACTGGCACAGTGTTAGCCATTCATCTGTACCCGAGAGAGATGCGTTAGAATAATTTCAAAAACCCAATATCAAAAGGTGTGATCACTCCACTGAGAAGAACATTTCATCATCATTATTTGAAACAGGTAAGAAAGAGAAAGCAAAAAAAGCAAACAGAACAAATGTAAGCACAGAGTTCATGTGCTTTTGTGAACTTGTGTAGGTTTCTTGTAACCGTGTGCACTTGATAAGCGGGGTGTTCTCGGTTCTCTGACACTGATGCTCTGCATAACTTCCTATGTCTGCTAGCCTTTTCAGTGCAAGAGCTGCACACGTACATGCTGCAGTGGTTTTTCTATATGTGGGAGGTGATGCCAGGAAAATGCAGATTAAAGCTTTGTTAATCATTTACTGGAAGCGTTACTGTTGACCTCCAGTATTAAATTGTTTCAACTCTGCTGAGTTATTTCTTTTTTGTGCAATTAATGAAGTTTCAGCGGAAATCTGACAATGCAAACGATTACGTTTTTAATCGTGATTGTTTGCTGGGGTTTAAAAAAGAAAAGACAAACAAAACAGTGTTTCAAATACTTACGTTTTCTGTGAATAACACAGACCCAGGCAAAAAATGAAGACAATAATGATGGGCAGGAAGATGTGCCACCAAGTACCTGGAAAGAAGGCATTTAAAATTTTTAGTCTTAGACAAACAAATGACACCCTTCCTGTTACTGAAGTGTATGCACGAAGACACATGCAGAACGTAAACACATAAAACACTTTCAAATAAATTCGGATAAGTTTTCACCTTCAATATTGATGCTACTTTGAATATTAAGGCTATCTTTGACATTTAACGCCTCTGTTTTCCAGTTTGTAGTGGAACTCCATTCACTCCATGGACCCTGAAGGGCATATGTAGGACAAAATGTGGCTTGAACATCCACAGTGTAATTGGTATATGGTTGTAGTTCATTGTGGTTTATCAGAATTTGCATTTCTGACACTCTTTCCTTGGAGAAAACTGGATCCTGTTAGGAACAAAATAAAAAACACCAGAATTTTGTGAGAATTTTTGAGAAATTTCACAGTAATGTTTTTTTTCAATCTCACGTCCAAGTTATTGGTTTTTATATTTCTATTACCTTCAACAAGTTTTCGCTCGTTCTTATGCGGACTCTGTATCTGAGGCAGTCGGCAGTGCTGTCATGGCTCCAGGTTATGTTGTAGAATTCCGCTGCGTTTTCAACTTGAACGTTTAAAGGAGGCTTAAGTTTCACTGTGAAAACAAAGCCCCAGGGGAATATTATGAAAATGTGTGCATGCCCAGAAATGGCAGCTGAACATTATTTTTAGCTTTTGTTTTAATTTCGAGTATAAAACAGACGGGTGGGCATTCACCGGCAAACAACAATTCGGGTAAATTGGGAAAGTTGCCAGAATGATTCTTGTAACTTCTGGATTTTCTGAACTCTCAATCTGTGTTGAAAATTGTTTAATGTATGGAGGGTGATCAATAACCATATGCCTATAACCAAAATAGGGAACATATTTAACATGCCTTAATTTGTCTTTAACACACATTTTGATGCCACTTAAATGTCACTGGAGGACCAAAAGGCTGTTTTCTGTAACAGTTTTGATGACTTTTTTATGTGTTCAGCAGAGATGACAAATAGTGAAATGTCAGACTGAGGAGTTATCAGTTTTACTTACCCACTTCACTCAGGTTCCAGCTGGATGACTCATTTATGAATGAGCTGCCTTCTTCACTGACTGTCGTGCTGCAGACTGTTCCAACTGATGCAACATCAACAAAGGGCTTATCAATTTGACACCAGGACTGAGGCGATCGGATAACACAGCTGCCATCAACGTCTTCATCTTCACCCCTAAAAAAACCAAAACTGACTGTTTTTAATGATGTTCTGATGATTTGCAGGTGGTTCAGTCATGCACTAATTTTTCTATAAGCAAAATACACCTGAATAAAAACATAAATATTCATTAGCCCATTAACATTTTTTGAAGCCCACTGTTAAATATTTAAAGTGATTTTTAAAAACCCAAACATTTTTTATTTGTATTATCATATATGAAAAAGAAAAGCATCAACTGATCAACTGAGGAGCGCTAAATATTTAATAAATATAATGAATATGAACTAAAGCGATTAAAACTTCAGTGGTGTTGAAACAGTGTCGCCGCCAGGGAGTGCAGTTTGTCTCTCTGGTACATACACTGTATGCGACATACTGTCTCTTTAATGAGACATAAATCTAAAAATGTTTGTTCGTGCCACCTGTTTTCTGTGAAATACAGATAACGATTAAAGGCTTACACTTGTTTTAAACCCATCTTGGGCAATCAGTTCACGCGGAGACGGCTGTTCGTACAAGTGTAAACAACCACCAATAGGCTAAGTAAGGGTTGCTTTGTAGACTAAAAGCTAATGTGTCCTGATGTGTCCCCAACGAGACCCCAACAACAAAATACGTCATCAGTGCAGGACGTGGTGGTCCTTCATTGGCATCTCCTGCACCCTATTGCAAGTCACAAATTGCAATGTCAGTGTCACCAGTTGGAGTGGCCTGTAGGGCTACACACACATTAGATGGGGAAACTTTTTTGCATAATTCTCCCTAAGCAAAGTGTGCAGGGAGATCCTCAACCTTCTAGTTGAAATGACACCAAAAGTCAGGGAATTTTGGACCCAAATGATATAGACACAAGAAAGTTCTGATGTGTCCACTTGTGGTTAGATTGACCAAGAAATAAAGTCTAAGATAGCCTATTATTGTTGTATTTAATTCATAAACACTGGTATAAATGCAACACTGGTCGATCAGCTCCTCATGCCAACTATGGCAAATAGATGAAAATCAGTTTATGCACTAAAACTGGACGATTTGACAACACATCTATACCATAAAAAAAGTTACTGAAGCTGGTAATGCATAAACCAATCAATCATTTCAAACAAGCCTCCACAAAGTGTTTGCATAAATAGCCACACTGCAACTTTTACCTGCAAATGACACTGATGTTAAGGGGATTCATCGGCACAGAGGCTGCGCACGAACAGTTCAACAATTCATCGTAGTCTGTCCAGCAGGTGACATTGCAAAATGATGTAGATGCTAAAAAAAACATTAACATTTATTAGTTTTCCAGTTTAACAACATTCTTCAAAATCAAAGCATTTCTTTTTTTGCAGTTTTACTCAGTTTTACTCAATTGAAGAAATTAATTTTACTAAAAAATGTAGCCACAAAAACCACGACAAGACAAACCCACAGCGTACAGTCAGCGCATCCGAAATACAATAAATGGATCAATAACTACAGAAATCAATGAAGTAAGAAAACAAAAAGATTACAAAGAGCTTGCTTACCTCCATGAAGGAAAAGAGCGAGGCACCACAGCAAGAAAAAGAACACATGTTGGGGAGCCATGGGGCCACCCGCTGCTAACAGCTGCATTAAACACAGAAGAATTTAGAAAAAGCTGTGGTTGTGTGGCAGAAAAAAAGTGTTTTAAAAAGATATAAATAAATAGCTTTTTTGTAACTGACTTCTAAACTTGGACAAAGTGAGTAAGTGGCTAAAAATGAATATCTGACGAGATGAGCGTCAGGTTTAGCAAGAACACTACACCGTATACTTTTCTTAACAAATTCAAAATCCAAAAAGAATCAAATTAATACTGGATGATCATAATCTCGGCATTTTCAGTTTTTCACTGAGAAAAATAAATTATGATCTTACCGTATTCTAATTAAAACTCCAGCAACTTTACGGTGAGCGAAGCGTCAGAGTCACAGATGCGCTGATGTCTGTGTGAGAACGCCAAGCGGAACAAAGCTGAGGCTGTCGGGCGTCATAGTCACAAGCGTGACTAAGGATGTGGTTTCAGACTCTTTGAGCAGAGTCAGTGTGGTGCTTCCCACCACTATGAATATGCAACAGATAACTAGAGAGAAAACGTCAACAGGAAACTGAAATTATCATCAAGACAATGGTGCCATATTTGTGTCACCTAATTTTAACAAAAAGCAGGACAAAAATAGATTTTTGAAGACCGAGGGGTGAATCCATTTTAGCATATTTAGAACCCCAGAACATTTTATTCTTTTGCCGACTGTCGTAAAATGTTTTACTCTTAGAAGAATATCATATAATAATATAACTTTAATAATGCATCATTTGTTCAAAACATAACCAAAAATCTGCTTCATTCCTGTAATAATTTTGACACCTTCCAAAAGACCCCATCACACACCTACTTACCACCTAATAACACTTAATTGGGGCTTTTTTAGAAGATTCCAGCAAACTGCAATAAGTCTAGCAATATGAGTCATAATGCTGATGCTGAGCCCCTCGGCACTCGCTTTCAGTAATCAAATTAGCTCTAAATATTTGCAGCTCACCCATTTAATAGCAGCTTTCTCGAGTCGCATTCCAGGTGTAAACAGTTTATTATCTTAAATATAAAAGAGCACAGTATCAAGCTTTATATCAGGGGGGTGTAATCAGATTGACATCACCGTGTGGGTGTGCAGACATGTCTATTTAATGTCATTGTATCAATATTAGTCAAATCCAAATGCCATTTTACCACACAATTACACAAAGCCAAGCATCTGCAGTGTCTTTAACTAGGTTAAAAGACAAAAGTGAAAAAAATAACAAAGAGTCAGTGGAACAGAGCAAAGCTTAAAATATCACTTCACCCCATGACTTCTTCTAAAGCCTTCAGACGATAATTCTGATTGCTCCAGTGCCGGACAGGACAGGCAAATAAAATAAAAAAAGAAAGATGCAAAAGATGTGCAAGGGAAGTCGTGCATAATACAATAAACAATATGTTTGCACAGTCATATATCTTTCTTTATTACTCTGTCTGAAGAGTAAAGGTTAGTAAGGGCTAAAGCCAAATTATTAGCAAAATGGAGCTTTGACAAGCAAACCGAGCATTCACTGAAAGCAGCACTGCTCGTCTTCCTCTTCCTCAAGTGCAACTCTCAAACAAAACACTAACCACCATTTAGCGGTTAGACACCTAAATGTAAATAGGAAAAGAAGTGACGATGGCTCCTGTAATTCCTGTGTGGTTTGTCTGTCTGTCCACATGTTTCTCAGCATGATTAGACAAAATCTACCAAGTTTAATCTTATGAAATCATGCAGTTGAGAAAATGGGAGTGAAAACACCGGGCACAAATTTCCAGCTGATGTGCAGCCCTCTTTGCTAACACACAACACGAATAGTATATTTAGACCTTTTACTTATAAAAATTCAGACTCCAGCTCAGCGGCACAGGACAATCCTGTTGTGTTTTGCACATAGATCGCTTTCTTTATAAATCTAAAAGACAGTTGATTTGTCTTTGCAGTGGGCCTGCTGGCCTTTTAGATTTCCCAGAGCTCTGCATTATAGTGAGAAGTGCTTTACGTTTTTGATACAAGAGAAAATCATCAGTATACAGATGTGCCGGGTAGTATCACATTCATATAACAGCTGTGTTGACCTCGAGGCATCTCCACTTTGTTTGTTGTGTTCTGTGCTTTGTTTTGCAGCAGGTAACTGAGCAGCAATATAAAAGCGTCTTCCTTCCTGCAGTGACAGCCAGCCTTCAGATGTTCACCAGCTTAGCAACAGCACGATTCTGTGTTTTAGACACACTCTGCCATGTGTACGTGTACGCTTTACACCACTGACAAACACACTCTTTTATTTAATTATGTTTTTACAAAGTATCATTTTTGAAGTTACCACTTTATCTGGTCTCGCCTCTTCTTGGGCTGTGACCGAGTGTAACACGAGACACAAGGTTGTTCTTCCTATTTTTGCTCTGTCAGAAAATATACTTTAATTATTATATTTTACCTTGTTGTAAATTTCAAAACCTAAATCCAATAAACTGCTCTGCTGTTCTGTATTGAAAAATGATTGATCAGGAAATGTTTACACGCAGCTGCTGAGGCTTGCACAAACGCTCCATAGTCACTGGAGGGCGCTGTACATGAGCGTCACTTTAAACCCCCCTGCCCCCCCAGGTTTTAATGTGAACTGCTGCTTTGACCAACACATTAACTGAGTTCTGGTTCTTCTTTCCTTAGAAACTAGAGAGTATGTGCAAAAAAGCAAAGGCAGTGAATTCAGACTTGCACTGCTTATTTTTAAAATAATTCGACACTTGAAATCTGCTTCTGCTGCGTTTCCCAGCTTTTACGTGGACATTTGCGTTTTTATCGAACAAATATAAAAGGCTCAGCTTGTAGCTTATAAAAGGCGTTCAGGGTTCACATTAAAAGAGCCACCATGTTAGTTATCAGAGATGTGAAAATAGTAGCACACAAACCACGGCTGTAAAAGCCAGCGGTTAAATTGCATTTAATCATATTATAACAGTTTAAATATAATAATAATAAAATATGTAAAACTGTTTTTCTTTTTGTTTTGTTTCAATGCATGCGTGACTTTACTGGCGGGCCTTTTTTTCGCGCGACACACTCTTACAGTACGCGCAGACCTAATTTTGGATATGGTCCATGTACTCACCACTCACCGGGGAAGCCCGCAACGATGTTTTCCTCGTTTCGTTTTCACTTTGTGGACTCATGTTGAGACTCGTTTTGTCCCAGCAGTTCTTTCTTTTCGTTGCTTTTTTAATTTTTAAAATTTTGCTCTATAATTTCTCTTCCCCCCCATCCCGTCACCACCACCTGACATTCATGTAATTTCACGTAATTACCTGTTGAATGTACTCACCAATTTATTAGCAGCTTTTTTTTAAGAGAACCTCTTCTGTCGTGTTTTCAGACACGATACCGGGAGACTCTGGGACGTTTTTGACTCCAAACTTTTTTGGAGACTGAGAATCCAAAAAATGGAAGAGAACCTTTGGTGCACGTACCAGCCCCTTCCTATCAGTTTATCAGTTTACAGACCCTATATGAAATACACAGCGCCCATGTGTGGTCCAGTCTCGTTATAGCAACGACATTCCTTAAAGTTACCAAATTCCACCGTAACAAACGGGGCAAAATAAGTCAGCAACAACTTGACAACCTTTGATTTTATTAGTAAGAGACATTCAGGAGACTCTGGCATGTCTGGAGACGGATGTAAAATACTCTAGTAAAAGTTAATATTTAATGTCTATTAAACATTTAATTAATATGTCAGTTAAACTAAGTTAATGTGGTGCTGAAGCAAAAATTGATAATATTATACTATATATTAGTCATGATTTGTATTTTTTCTTGCACATGTATTTGGGAGGTAAAGGGGTTCTCAGACCTCACCTCTTGAGATCAGCTTCCTCCTTCTGCTGCACCTTTCCTTTCTAGCTTGCTTCTTACTTTGCAAGTGTTGCACCTCCACGGTGGAAGTGCAACACTCTTTGCTGTCTGTACCAATCAGCAATATACTTTTTGTCATTGTGTTATTTTTCCATTTCATGATTCTATCTATAGTAAAAACAAAACAAAACAAAAACACTTTGGTAAAGTGCTGAGCTCAGTCTTAGAGTTGCTGAAGAAAGAAAGTAAAAAAAGATTCAACTAGAAAACTAAATATGGTTTGGGAATTTTCCCTGTATAAATAAAGATTGATGCCCAGTCATACAGGGAAACTCGTGACATGTCCTTTGTGGCGATGTTATTCCCCTTCTCTGTCCCTTTGTTTTTGGATAGCCCCAAACTTTCATGTGACAAAACTGTTAATAATACACGAGAAGAAGAAGAACATTGCATCTCGGTAGTAGATATGTCTTAAACAATTCACCATCCCATCTGTTAAAATGCTTTTGCTCTTTATGTTTATGTTTATGTTTATGTTATGTGTGCTCATCATTTGTCCCTGAAAGTGATTACTTACAAATAACCGCATCTACCGTTGCTCGTCCCTTTAAATTTTACTTATGTAAACTTGCAGGTTTATGAAGTTCTTAAAAAATCTTGAAATATTTTTATTTGGAGGTGTTAAAAATATTTTCATGACGATAAATGCGGAACAGTAGTCAGAGAAACTCCTGGAAAGTCTAATCAACTTCATTGTTTCATTAATTTTTTTCCTGAAGTCTGCAGAGTTCTTGTTTTATACATGCACGCATATGCATATATAAATTATAATGTTAATAAGATAGATAATAAAAAAAATAGACAGAATAGGTGTTTCAAACTCAAATGTTTCAGACTTTTCCTTTCAGAGCGACCATAAAGCAAAAGTTTCGTGTGACAAGATCTCCGCCTGGAGCAGTAGACAACTTTTTCCACTGGGTGGCAGTATAGACAGTTTTGTTTTATGGGAAGTAAAACCACAAGTAGTTTTACAGCTTTATTTCTTTTTGTGCATACACACAGATATTAATTAAATTGTTTATTTTAATAGTTTGTGTTTGCACCAGTGACTCATTACTCAGGTTTTATTCATTTTTCACACAGAATAGTGAAAAGGGATCCAAAACAGAGGAAAAGTGTCTTTTCAGTAACAGGATACTGAAAACAAGACTTACCATCCAACCATTCTCTTCCCCTTAACCTTAACAGGGTTGTAGGGGGGCTGGAGCCTATACCAGCTACCATAGGGCGAGAGGTGGGTACACCCTGAACAGGTCACCAGTCTGTCACAGGGGTAACACAAAGAGACACACAACCATTCACACCTATGTGCAATTTAGATTCACCAGTTAACCTAACCCCACTAATTGCATGTCTTTGGACTGTGGGAGGAAGCTGGAGTACACTGAGAGAACCCACGGAGGCATGGCGGGAACATGGAGACACCACACAGAAAGACCCCGGCCAGGTGGGAGAGTCGAACTCAGAACCTTCTTGCTGTGAGGGAACAGTGCTAATCAGCACACCGCTGTGCTTATTTTAGTGAATAACAAGAAAAGTTCTTCATGTAGTATTTTTATGGGGGGTGTTTATTTTAATTCAAAACGTTTTAAAACTGAAAACAATCCACGAACTGCTGGTTCCTTCTTTAGTTTGACTTTGTTCCTTCTTTAGTTTGACTTTGTTCCTTCTTTAGTTTGACTTTGAATTCTAGTGTTTGTTATTTGTTTCTTTGAGCCCATTGTGTCTTATTTACCACTGCTGCACAAGGTCAAACGTAACCTAACTAAGACACTGTAAATTAAAAGTAGTCCTCACAGTATTTTGAATAAACAAAAGAATACCAGAGACCAAAAAGTGTAAGTTATGCCCGTCCACATTCTGTGGCACAAACTTCTCAATGGCAACAAGAAAACCAAAGAAATCATTTAAAAAAGAGTTCAAAAACAGTTACAACATGTATGTTTGTGACCTTTGTCAGTTTTGTCATATCTGAGAGGTGCTCCTGGGGGCACAGTGTGTGTGTGTTGGGGGGTGAGGTTGAGGGGAAGTTTGCTCTTTTTAGTCGAGGTGGCTGAAACAGCACTCCTCAGGTTGAGAAGGCTTTTTATCCCTCTCGAGGGCTGCAGGCTCTCGTTGAGTTGTTCTGTGAAGTGACCCGCACACTAAAGCAAAGTGGTGGAGGTGTCTTTACCGTGAGGGTGGCAAAGGCGGTGGTGCTGTTACATGCTCAGAGGTGGTGGTAATGGTGGGGTGAAGAAGTTGACTGTGTGTGTGTGTGTGTGTGTGCCGGGGGAGGGTGTTTGGGTTGTAGTGGGCAGAAACGCGGTGTTGCAGCTGTGCATGTGCTTGTCCATGTCTGAGTGAATAAGGGGAGGAAGGGTCAGCCAGGGAGGGGGGATTCAGGTTCAGAAGTGTTGAAGCATAAAATCTCTCTCTCTCCCTCTCTCTCTCTCTTGCTGGGCCAGACGCAAAGCAACAGCAATTTGTGCGATTTCACAGCTCACCGAATCCCTAAAACTCTGACAGCCTTGTGCTGAGGTGGGGGGTAATGAAGGGGTAGGAGGGAGAGATGGAAGGAATGAGGAAAAATGCAGAGATGGACGGATGGAGCGGCAGACGCTACAAACATGCAAGTGACAGTGGAAAGTGAAGATGGACAGATTGGAAGAGAAACAAGCAGCTGACGACTGATCAGAAGGAGAAGAGACAGGCACTCAAGAGATCTGTATATTGCACTTCTAAATTATTCTAGAAGTGTTTCCAACTCCATCTGCTCCCACTTAAAATGACATGCTCACATGATTCAGCGTCACCTTGTTCATGAGCCGAGACACAAAAGCTTTTATTGATGTGAAACATGTTTAATAATAATAATGGATTGCATTTATATAGCGCTTTTCGGGACCCCTCAAAGCGCTTTACAATACCACTATTCATTCACTCTCACACACTGTTGGAGGCAGCTACAGTTGTAGCCACAGCTGCCCTGGGGCAGACTGACAGAGGCGAGGCCGCCATATCGCGCCATCGGCCCCTCTGGCCATCACCAGTAGGTGAAGCGTCTTGCCCAGGGACACAACGACCGAGACTGTCCGAGCCGGGGCTCAAACCAACAACCTTCCGATTACAAGACGAACACCCAACTCTTGAGCCACGATCGTTTAATGTGATGCATGAATGTGATCACCTGACAGCGAATGATCAAAATGACTGAGTCAATCGTAACCTTGAGAAAAACTCACATGATTTTGTTCTGACATTGGACAAATGACAGAGAGACTAAAATTTAAAAAATCATTTGGATTCAGGGCAACACGATTTCTGAAGTGCACACTAAAAGCAAACATGTTATCTGACTCACCATCTTACTGCAGTTGACTAAGACGAGATGTTTGCATACCTTTTATTTAAAACCCACTTGTTACTTTTTAAACTGGCCAACTTCATCTTTTTTGTTAGAGATGGGGGCGAGTCACTGTTTTTGGACAGACTTTGTCTCATCCTTGCCTTCACCGTCATGTCCACATTCTGCAGTGTCTTTTCTCTTCATTTGGGCTTTTTCTCCAGAGAAACCGTTGCTCATAAATAGACAAAGGTGCAAAGAGTTTTTTCTAAATATTTTTAATGTATTGTAGTCTACATCTAAAAACTATGACTACAGCGTTGTCTTTATTTTTCTTTTTGTTTTTAATGTAAAGGTTTTAAACATACTAAGTAAATAATATTGACTTTACTGAGATGGTTTGAACGTGTGCAGAGGGACATTAAGTTATTAAGTCATTGAGTTGCCAGGAAGGAGGAAAACAGGAAACCACAGAAACTTCGTGGTTGTAGCAAAGGAGGACATGCAGAGGGTTGGTGTGGCAGAGGAGGATGTCAGGGATAATGTGAGATGGAGATGCTTTAATTAATTTTTGATCTATAGCCACAAATAGGAAACCAGGCCAGAGGTCACTACAAGAATCTTGGTCATGGCTGCCAGTCGTTAGCTAAACCCACAGACTATATACATAAAATGGGGATGACCAATTTAAAGCCTCAGGCCATTGTTTCCATGTTTTTTGTTTACTTGTTTTTGTTTTTCTTAGAGCCAGAAACCACAATCACTCACAAAAACTGAAGTGTAAATTTCTCGGATGATCTGTACTTTATAGCAACCCATAATCTTTGTCATATAGTTATATTAAAAAAAAAAAATACTCCAAAGCGCACAAACACACCACCACAGTGGTCAAATTAGCAGAAGTCAGCCTGTCAGTCATACTGGCCATGACCCTAACATTAAACCATTAAAAAAACGGGTCAGTTAAAAAAAAAATCACCCAAATGGGATATAAAAGGATAATCTAGAGTTACAGTTTTTAAATACTAAATTGATGAATTGATAAATGACTGACATTTGAGCCAATTCTCAAGTGGCCATTAGAGGAACTACAGTTATGCCTGTCACTTGGATCAACCTTAGCACTGTTCTCAGTGACAAAGTCACTCACACTTCACAGTGATCAAAATCTAAACACAGCTTAACTAAAAACAATGACCAGACTTCACTAATATTTTTTTAACTTGAATGCTGGTGCTTA